AAAAAATCAAAATTTGTTAAAGTTAAATATTACCGTTTCCCAGCGACTTGTGATGTGAGAACGAACAATATGGGTCATCCAATACATTACATAGTATCCGCACTCATATGACCCATTTTGTCTGTTACACTACAATATATCATCACAGTTGATAATAGTTAGTGAATTACATTAAAATAAAACAATTATAACAAAGTATGACTTTAGCATATGTCAAACCTTGAGAGAAATCCAAGCAATCTTTCTACTATTAACAATTGATCTCCCACCCATCATCATACTTGCTGGAATAGAACTGTATATAAAAAAAGGTTTTAGCATTCATTTATATAACAAAGAAAGTCCAAACATTGAGGTTCTTACCAATCAATTGCTTGTTTGAGTTGTGTGGGAGGAGGCCTGTGCAATGAGCAGGATGAACGCCAACTTAGTCTGACCATATTCATACTTTCACCACATTGAAACCACTACTCAGACATTCCTCGTTGGAATTCTCTTTCATATCACATTATAAATATCATACCTCAATACCAACATATTTTCTCATCCATAACACATTTAAATAACATCAAGCCGAACAGTAAAACAAACATCACCCTTGAGCACGACCGAACGAAAAGATCAACAAATCTTATGAACAAGACCGGACGGAAAAACACTACCCATATATGATCATGACCGAGCGGTCATTTAAAGAGCAAGACTCAAGCATGAGCCGAACACAATTTTAGGGTCGAATACTAGAACAACCAAATACTAAAGTTAAACCCGAGCACTTAAATCTTAGACCGAACCCTTATGATTTAGAACGAATACCATTGCCTTAGACCGATCACTATTGGCTTAGGACAAACACTATCAGCTTAGGCCGAACACTATAGACTTAGGCCGAACACTTAGAATTTAGACCTAACACCAATACAGACCGAGTGTTAGTACAAGACCGAGCACTACTGAGCTTATATAAAATGAATAAATAGATTTGACCGCACAACTACGAAACACTTATTTATAACTGAGGATAAATATAGTATGTAAGATTTAAATTATATTGAGTACCTTAACTAGGCTAATTACTAATTAGAAATAGAAAACTATACTTAGACCAAACGCTTATTTTCAAATATACTAATAGAAGACCGATCGGTCATTAATTGAAATTCTCCATAGAATGAGAATTCAGTTAGGACCGAACACACCAAGAGAAACCGAACGATCACAAATGACTCTCGGCGACAATTAATGAATTCTGCACAAATACTGCAAAATCATGATCAAGTTCTATTCCTACACAGTTCACACTATTTATTAATCATCAACACATACATACGAACATATAATAACATTGATAGTTCATATCAACCAAATAACTAAACAAAACATCATTCAAACATGCAACCATTCAAAACAGAGAATCATAATTAAATTACAAGCTTCCCTTACCTCGAAACCCAGAAAACTTCTATGCTTCCACAATATCGCCTACACCGCAAGTAACTTCTATAACCTCCTACAAACTTCTGATAGGTGAAAATGAACCAATCATAGAACCAAAGACAAAAGATAGATTCAGAGGGGGAGTTTGATTAATACATGCAAGCTGAATGGTGCTTGCATGTAACAGAAAATGCATAAATCCTAATAGGACGAAGGAATTTAACTTACCAACCCCAAAACAGCAACTTGATCAGTTTAAAAGAGAGAGCTTAACACCAAGAATACTTAGGTGATGCCTGAATGATGATCGGAAGAAGGAAAAGGTAAGAATTTATAGAAAGAAGGAAAAGAAGTTTAGAGAGAAGGAGGAGAAAACTGAAAACTCAGAAAATTTTGGAGAAGAAGGTGCATGCAGGAAATGACTCGAGATTTTTGAAAAAGCTAATTATATTCTACCGTCAAAATCCACTCAGTCCAATCCACTGCACCCACCTAGATCTTACTTTGTTGCTGAATTTAATAACTCTAACAATGTTTCATATATTCAAAATCAAATCAATTAACCTAACTTAAGTTTTGTTTACACTATTTGTTATGAACTTTTATTCGATTTTGGATTTAGGTAGATCCAGTTATTATTGGTCCATCTCATTTTCATCATAATTAGTGTAATGAATTTACCTAATTGACTTGTTAATCACGTATGGTTGCTTAGCTTAGCCTTTTAAAATAATTAAAAAATATTAGTAAAATATTCTTTGATATATTTTCTTAATATTATTATTTAAATTTTGTTAGAGTTAATAAATTCTGATAGATGTCGTATCTTTTTTGTTATCTTCATTGATTTTTTATAATTCGAATAAATTTCAATCAATTATAAATCATGTATTGGTAACACACCTATCATATAAAAAGTATATAGTATATGGCAATAAATTGTTTGGCTTTTAGCTTATGGAAGTTTGAGATTGTAGGGTAGAGCAACCCTAAAAGTAAAGCTTTTATCTTTTAATTTAAAAAATCAATTTTTGCATGGAGACATAAACTTTAATGCCACTTTTTATTTTCTTTTAGAAAGAATGTTGAAAAGGAAACCCGAGACAACAAGGACTATTTTTACTTTTATTTTATTTTATTTTGAACTAACAAAAAGAAATCACATAAATGAATAATGTTCTCGTCCAAGTTTCAAACGTTCAAGAACTTGGATCCAAAAGCATGAGTTATATAGATGCGAAGATTCCTAGTATACAGATATATGACCATGCTTCATTTGGCAACCTAGTACTTTTGTTTTAAAATGGAAAACAATATTAAAAACTGCAAACTTTTTATTGAGATCTGTGACATTTCATCAATACCTCACACCATGTAAAACCATATCAAATCTAAGCTTTACCAGGGTATTAGACGTTTCTTCAATACATTTTTATCACATAGTAATTAATATTTCAAAGTTAACTAGAAAAAAACTTGATGGGATTGTAATTAATTTTATCATAATACGCATAAATAAGTTTCATAACCATATTCGAAAATCTTTCCTGACAAACATAAAATTTACATATTTTTAAATTAAAAATTCATAAATTTATCATCTTAAAATTTTCAATTAAAAATGTACATACTCTGGTGTCATGGCCCAGATAAAGGTTTATTATTCAAATTTCAATATATTTTTATTATTTGTTAAACCATTCTTAAATGTTTCTTAATAAATTCTTTATTTAAATCATATCCAACAAAGGTTTATTATTTAAATTTAGATAATTTTTTTTAAATCATCTTTAAATGTCTTTTTTTTCTAATATATATATANGTGACATTTCATCAATACCTCACACCATGTAAAACCATATCAAATCTAAGCTTTACCAGGGTATTAGACGTTTCTTCAATACATTTTTATCACATAGTAATTAATATTTCAAAGTTAACTAGAAAAAAACTTGATGGGATTGTAATTAATTTTATCATAATACGCATAAATAAGTTTCATAACCATATTCGAAAATCTTTCCTGACAAACATAAAATTTACATATTTTTAAATTAAAAATTCATAAATTTATCATCTTAAAATTTTCAATTAAAAATGTACATACTCTGGTGTCATGGCCCAGATAAAGGTTTATTATTCAAATTTCAATATATTTTTATTATTTGTTAAACCATTCTTAAATGTTTCTTAATAAATTCTTTATTTAAATCATATCCAACAAAGGTTTATTATTTAAATTTAGATAATTTTTTTTAAATCATCTTTAAATGTCTTTTTTTTCTAATATATATATATTCTTTATTTAAATCATATAAATGATATAGGGTACCAATCACATTCATTTGATTAGAAAACACGTTGAGACTCATATTTATCTTTTTATAGATAAAGATTTTATCTTTTACTGATTTGAACTTCTAAGAGAAATTTACAGATGAATTTTCTTTCACTTTCGATTTTTAAAAATACACATTTGAATTTTTTGGATCCCATCACACACTGCTACATGTCAAAAATCATACTCCAAAATTTGGTAAAAACAAGAAATAATGTCAAATAATTTGGATTTATGTCTTGCTGATATTGTGTTTTCAAATAAATCATGAGTTTCAATTTCAATGTACATCTATAATAAAATTTATATGAGTGACCACTTTCCACTGACAGTAGTTAAGATTTCTTTTTCTTTTTAGATACAACAGTTTCATTAAATTCTTGTGTACCATTAAATATGAAGAATGATATGCATAATAATTATGGCATGTGTTAGCTATGATTAGAAGAAGATGTGAAAGAAAAAGAGCGGCAAAAATTCAAACAGGAAAAGTTGAAGAAAAGGTGAAGTAATGAGTAGGAGACATGTGAGTTTAGGGTTGTCTCAGCAAAAATGGTGGAACACAGGGAAGAGACTGATATGCATCTCTGTCACTCTCCATTTTCTTAAATATTTCATTTCTAGTAGTTTATTTATCAATTTCTGTGCACTTTTGGTTCAATATTACTCAAATGAACATATTTAAGAAAATTTTCTTTGGATAAGTTGGGTTTGCATGATATAACTTTTGTTATTGTTAATGTTATATTTATAAAACACAGACTTTAATTTCATATTTTACTTTTTAATTAAAATTGTGATTAAAAACGACAATTATTGAAGTATATTTTTTATGGAAGTGACATAACTTTAATATTTGTTTTAATTAAAATTATGGAGAATTTTGATATTATGATGAATTATGAATACATTCATATAATATATTAAACACCATTTTATTTATATGTTTCATTTTATTCATTTACAACTAATGTGAGATTTTAATTCATCTTGAATTTCTTACAATTTTTTATCTACAAATTATAGTTCATAAAGTTTTTCTTTGCATATATGAAAAACACTATATCCGTTGAGGAATTAATTGTTTTAATTAAAATGTAAAAGAACGCATTATTTTATGAGTTTTTATCTATGATTCTTAACAAAAATATAAAATTCTTTAACTAGTGTGTATTCAGGACTTCATCCTTTTCATATTCTTTGTATGCAAAAATGGATACAGATTTTAGGTGTTTCAAAAATTTAAATTCATTGTTTAGATTTCATTCAAATGTTATTTTTTCTTATTTTAATTTATCCTCAAATAAATTATATTGGAATAAACTTAACTAATATTTACTGAAAACTATATTCATCCCATTAAAATAGTCTCTTTTATAAGTGTAATGTTTTTAAATTTGAAAGAGTTCACGTATAATGTATAAAAAAAATAATTTTCAGAAACAAATAGAAGATTTATGTAAAATTGTAATATATTCAAGATTTTATTATGAAATCAGAAAACCCATGTCGAAGTAATTTATTCAATATTTTAATATTTATAGTTGTAACAAGTGAGACTATTTTAACAAAATTCTTTCAATATATGATATACTAATAATTATTGTTTTTAATATATGGTACTTTATAAAATAGAAAG